CAGCTTCATAAATCCCTTTTGAGGGTCATTCTTTTGTGGTTTCCTTCCCCTACATGGTGGAAAAAACAAGAAACTTACTTTCAGAAAACTCTCACTTACAAGGCTTGAAATCTTCACCAAGCCTATGGAAAGATTCTGAAAGCTCCTGCCTGTTTACTGGGTATTTCATGAAGAGGAAAATATCTAGCTCTTCCAAACAGCTTAACAGATGTAGACCATCCACCAAATGATTCCCCTTAAACCTTGTAAATCTTGTGGAAGTCAAATTATGTGAAGTAAATATTTAGCTCTTCTCTGTCATTCTAATCCAATGTTTCATGGAAGTGATCCTGGGTTCTTGAAAGCTATACTAACCACATTGTGGTATAAAGAGCCAACTGGCTTCTCTTTCATTCCTAAACTACAAATGGTGTAATGTCTCCTCTTCCTAATTTATTTAGGGTGAGAAGGGAGAGACTTGTCTGTAAGTGAATTACGTCTTTGACTTTTAAGTACATTTGAGTATTCATAGACTGGCTGATATTAACTCCACCAAATAAAAAATTTGCCCTCCCCCAATAATACATATCAAAGTTTAAAAAATATATACATTAATACTATTGAATAGCACTGCTATAAAGGTTCCAGTGTAACTTTGTTCTGTCTGTGTAATAAAATAGGGAGTCACCCACACAGATCAGCAGCTGGTCTTTTTTCCTGTTTTCAAGTCAGTGTCATATTGTTTAGAGTTTAGATAGCCATGACAGGTACAGTACTCAAAAGAATTTCTAGAGTTGGAAGGTATCTCAATGGCTATTCAATCCAATCCCCTCCTATTTTACAGATGAGGAAACAGAGACCCAGGGAGGCTAAGTGATTTGGTTAAGGTCACAGAGATACTAAGTATCAGAGATGGGATCTGAGCCCAAGGTTTCTAACTACAAGACCATGCTTTTTTTTTCTTTTTTTAAAAACAGTACTATGTTGCAATTCCACTGAATAACAAAATTAGAATTTTCACAAATGCCTTAATATGACATGCAAAATATATGCCACCTTCATTTAAGTTTTAAATAATTATTTAGTCTACTTTCTTCCCCATCTCCCAAATATAACTTTCTAGAACACAGAGGCTTCTTTCATTTTAGGCTTCCTGTCTTTGTCACTTAACGTAGTGCTTACACATACTATATCACTCAGTGATCCTACTGTTGAACTTCTAATTATTAGACTTAAATTAGAGTGACCTTTTAAAATTTAAGTAGTTGGACATGACCCCTCTCCTGGACTGGAGAGTCCTGAATCATTCAGAGAAAGTGGGTTTATTTCCAAGTGGAATATTGCATGTTTCAAGAAGGAAACATAAAATGTTGCAACACAGCAATCACTAGCTCCTCTTGAGTCAAACCTTCATTTTGCTGAAAGTGGCTTTTAGAGATTAGTAGTCATACCCATATTCAAATAGAGGCAGAAACACAAGTTTTTAAGTCAGATACATAGGAAGTCAGAGCTGTGTTACAATGGAAAGACTGCTGATTAAAAGCCAGGGAATCAGGGTTTGAATCCTGGCTCTGCTACTGACTACCTGTGTGATCTTGGGCAAGTCATTTAACCTTTGAGGACCCCAGTTTCCTTATCTGCAAAATAAGGGCTGTTGAACTAGTTGACCACTATGTGTCCTGTTCAATTATAAATTAAATGACATAATATTTTTAAAACACTTTGCAAAAAGCCTGACACATAGTAGGGTCTATATAAATGCTTGTTCCCTTCATCTACATACTGTCTAACCTAGATCTGTAGTATTAAGATTTAGCTTCCATGACTAACCATATCTGTTTTGATCCCCCCCCCCAAATACTTCTTGGAAAAAAAAATTATTAACAAATTGAAGAAAAAATGCAAGCTGTAATATATATTATATGCAAATTAAGGAACATCCCCATAGAGTGAATTGATCTTACACCCTAACAAAATTCTAAAGCTTGAAATCAAATTCTTAATCCTCCTTTGAAATAATTTTCAAGTTTTATAGCTATTTAGTTATTCTGTCATTAAGAGTTTATCATCAAAACCATTTTGATGTAGCCCTTATTGGTAAATAGTGCTGTGCTAGGCACTGTATAAAACAAGTTAAATAAAAAGCCTTCTAAGATATGACAGCCTTTTAAAACTGAGTACTAGTAATAAAACTATGTTACTAGTATAAAGTATCACTGCCTGCTTTTATATTAAATTTATTAGCAGTAAAGTATGTGTGTCTTGGCAGTAAGACCAAGAGCTTCAAATCAGTCCTACCTTTATACACTTTAAAAGGGAGCACTTCCTGCATCTAAAGACTTCTCACCATCAACAAATAACTTAACTCCAAATTGAAGACATGAACTTGTTTGTGTCTCATACATAATCTAAGACCCTGGGTTCAAAGTACTGGAAAATGCAGAAAAGGATGAAGAGAAAAGTCAAAGCAGAGATTCATTAGTTCTATGTCAAAGTGTCAGTGAGAGTAGCAGAAACAGAACACAAGTTTGAAAGGTTTAAGTTTAGCCATCTAACCAGAAAAGCCAAATTAATTTCTTTCTTTCTCTCTTTCTAACATATACAATTGGTTTCAACCTAACATGGCTTTTTTTTGTTCACCAAGAAATACTCTACCCTTAGACATCTGGCTGAACAAGAATAGTAGGGGTAACAAGATCTAGTTCTTGATACTGGTCTCTAACTAAATATTGAAGACCTTTTGCTTATTCCTATAAACTATTTCACAACATGAATTAAAATAAAGTCCCACAGACTTATTCAGAAATGGCATATAGGCACTAGAAAGCATGTAGGCACTGAAGTGTTAAGGGAATAACTAGGCTGATCCATTTCAAGAGAAATTCTGTTTTTAGGCTAATTAAGACTTTATGATTGAAGAAAATAAGAACAGGAATCTAACTGAGCAAGGAAGAACACATATAACTTTCAATATGATCCAGTAAAGCTATACCTGGCTCTGACCCATTTTTTCTGCTTTAACAACACCCTTTCAGCAACAATGAATAGATATGTTGGACATTTAACGATTGCAGAGAGCACTCTTGTAGCCCTGGTGGTAACCTGGAACCTTACTTTCTAAAGACATACAACCCATATGTATCTTCAAATTTATGATCATGTAACACACACACACACACACACACACCACACATATATAAATAGATCGTTTTGTAGATAGTTTCAGTTTTTTAATGAGGTTTTTTTTCCCCTTCCATTTTTTTGGAAGACTGAATAAGATTCTATGGAGGAGGATAACTACAAGAGTTCCACCCCACCCCACCCCCCAATAGTTGAATCCACTCTTCCTAGTAGAATCATTCTTCATGGTTGGGGTAGTAATTAAGTTTCATACTGAGCAAGTGGTCAGTAAGATCTAGGAGGTGACTGGTGTACAGTCTTCTAAGAAGATATAGTCTATATTAAGTCAAAAGAAGCTTTAATAAAATTCATTTACTATAATGCTGTGGAATTAAATCACATGGCAAATGGATTTACTGTAGCTGCAGGATGGAGGCAGCTCAGTCAGATACCTCAGCTCTTTACCACCTCCTCAAATTTCAGTTTTGACTCTGTGAAAGACAGTCTCAGTCTCTCTCTCTCTCTCTCTCTCTCTCTCTCTCTCTCTCTCTCTCTCTCTCTCTCAACTTTTCTTATTATGCTTGAGTGGATTTTTATGGAAAGCCCCCCTTTCTCCCTCCCATACTTTCCTTTTAGAGGTGTTTAAGAAAAGAAATCTTTGGAAATAATTAGAATTAAAGGCTTTTATGCCATTTTAAAAGCACTTTGATTCTCCAGAAAGAGGGGAAAGGACAGGAAGCTAAAATTCATTTAGCCTGGGGAAGTTAAAAATTATACTTCAAAAGTACACCTTTGAAGGGGGTAAGCCAAGTAGAAGAAATTGAAAAGGTGCCACCACATAGTAGAAAGGATTACTAGGATTCATACATAGATTCTAGGACTGATCTGCCCTTAACTTAAAGTTGAACTTAAGTTTGGGCAATAATGTCTCTGGGCTTCAGTTTTGTGATTTGTAAAATGAAGCAGTCTAACTGGCTTTTAGGATTTAGAGCTGGACCGGACCTTAGAAATGAGCTCTAAGGTTTGGTCCAGCTGAAAAATTCTATAGTTCTATTTTGGAGGAATATCACTGGAAAGAACCACTAATAAAACATTTCTTTTGTCCATGAAGATCTACCCACCCTACAGCATTTTAGTTATTCAGTACAGAGCTTACTAAAAAAAAAATGTGAATAGAAAGGAACTTGGAAAATTCCCTTTATGACAGAGATTAGACCTTGTATTGTTGCGGATGCAAACTTGTTGCATAATACTTCCACCCCTAAGAACACAACAGAAACGTCAAAGGGCTCCAAGTCTGTATTTCTGTAAACATTCAAGAAACTAGTACACAGGCAATCTCTTCAAGTCTTAAAGTTGTACTTTCAGTTATATGTACAGAATGCCACCTGGCACAACACCGACACATCACTGAAGGTTGCATAGTTTTTCAGTTGGCTGTTGAAACATGAGTCTCCACTTGACAAACCCTTCAAGGCTACAACTAAGCTTATCTGGCTTGTTTTTGCACCTCCACTATTTCTGGGTTTGGGGGGGAATAACTTGTTCTTCTTCAAGCCTACTTTATAATAGCCTAAAGGAAGTTTACCTACTCATCTATTCGTAGTTTTTTAATTTTTTTTTCTACCTGCAGTGATATTCATCAGAGAACGTAAAAGCTTAAACCTCAGATCTAAAATGTACCATGTTTTCAGGTCACGAAACAGCCATTTCCAGGAAATTCCTTACATTGTTATTTCACCTGGGGGAGTGGAGGAACTGAATCTTCCCCCTCCCCAATAAGATTTTCGCTTTTAATTCAGCTTAAGAGTTTGAAATGACTGCTTGTTTCCTTGGGGGAAAAATAACAGACTATCCAGGAACTGAATCTTCTTGTATGGCCCCCCCATCCGACCACTCACCTCTTTGATTTTTGCCCTCTTCTGACGGATTTCTGGGTCATTGGGCTCCCGTCCTAGAGCCCCGATAGAAGGGCGGAAATCCAGGTGAGGCAGTCCACCAGCATTCCCTTTATTGAGCAGTTTGTCTTGGAGAACTTGCTCCTTCTCCTGGAGAATATCCCTCTGAATCTCCTCGGGCAACTTCTGCAGTGTCTCCTTGGCCTCTCTTAAGGCTCGCTCGTGGTCTTCTCGAATCTTGGCCAAATTGTCCGCAGCAGCGGCGGCCGCGGCAGCAGCCGCTGCCCTCTCACCTTCGCTCCCCTCTTCCCCCTTCCCCCCTGCATTGATGTTTCCCAAGCCAAGCCCCTGCTTGTGGTCCGAAGCCGGCTGAAGAGCCGAGTTGGAGTGGAAGAAGACTCCGCTGAGCAGCTTCGAAGAATCCGGCAAGAAGAAGATCGCTCCGAAGCAGAGCGTGATGAAGGCGCTGAACGCCAGCAGCAAGACGAACTTCTCCGTCAGACGGAAAGCACCCGGCCCGGCTACCTTCCTGATGCCCAAGCCGCTACTACCGCCGCCGCCCCCACCTCCCAGCCCGCCCCCGGGGGGGCTGCTGAACATGGGCAACAGGCTCCCCATCGGCATCTCTCCGTGAGACCCTGGGATTGGCTCGGTGGCCCTGATCTCTGCGGCGTGCAGAAAAACTTCACCCCTTTGCAGCCCGGCTGTCAGGGGCTCAGGGTCCAAGTCCCGGGCATCCAGAGCCCACTAATCTTCCCGCTGGGCTGTAGATCCTCAACCGGGGGGGGCAGAGTGAGGGAAGCAACTTCCCCACCCCCTCTTCTTTTCGGAGGGGGTCTCCGGGGGAAGCTCCTACTGCCCACCCACACCGCACAGGAGGCTCCTCCGATTGCAGCTGCTGCAAGGAGAGAAAGCAGAAAAGGAGAATTATTTGGATAAAGTTTCCGGTGGGTCCCCGCCCCACTGGGGCCCCCACCTCCTCCTGGCAAGGCTCCGGGTGCCGCCCTCGCTGCCCCCTCCTTGGTGCCGAGGTGGAGTTTTTAGGTCCTACACCTTGGACTCGGTGTCCTGCACACACCTGGGTGGCAGCAGGGGCTGGGATGAGACCGGACACCTTCCCCCCCACAGCAGGCACAGCCAACTCTAAAGCTTAGAGGGGCGCGGCCAAGGGCTAGTCAACTTCGGCCGCGCACCGTGCTCATCATTCCTGCTGCCCCCACAGCGGAGTCAGCGGCGGCTGCAGCTGCTGCTTTGGCTATTCTGGCCGCCGCTCTCCTGGGCGGGCTGGCGGGCGCTCCTGTGAGCTGTATTGCACGCTCGCTACTCCTCGGCTGCCGGGTTTCCACTAAAGCAACTCCCGGGCTCTGGGCTATCGGAAATGAGGGCGGTGACGCGCTGCCAAGAGTGACAGTTCCTCACGGCCAATCCCCAGCCGCTCGAGGCCCGGTGGAGGGCGCACGGACACAAAGAAGGGAGGGGCAGGGCGGGGCTGGGCCACGGGAGGGAACCCCGCACCAAGGTGGGAGGGGGCGAGGGGAAGGAGGGGCGGGGAATTTACGGGAAGCTCGGCCTCCTGGGGGCTGGAGACTGGGGGTCTGCGGGGCGCGGCAGAGCCCCGGGGGGAGGGGAGAGAGTAGGAAACGCAGGCGACCTAGTGGCGGGAAGGGGGAAAAGGTGGGGAGCTTGAGGAACTGGGCAGTGCTGGGCAGCGGGTAGCGGATGACGAGGGTATGCTTGGAGAGGGAAGGAAGAAGGGTGCTGTTTATTTATACAAAGTATTAGGCATGGCCATGTGGTGACCCTGGAGGTTAAATAAGCGCCCAAGGCAAAGGGTAGGGAGCCCTGCGCCGGAGGGGACAGAAGTCAAGGTCTGGGAGTTGATCTTTGCCTGGCCTTGGCCCTGGCACTATTTTCTTGCACTATTTTCCCCCAAGTTCAATCAGTTGAGCTTCCCGAAGGGGGTGGGGACAGTTATACATCCTATTTGGTGGCCCCAGTACGGAGTCTACACGCCGGTGTCTAGGTTGGAGGGGAAGGGAGTTGTCCTGTGGGAGGTAATGGAATCCTCGTGGAAGAGGTGATTCCTACTTTAATAATGATTCAAAGTTAGTTTCATCCAATTAATTACCCTCTTTAAAAAGAATCACTGAGGAGATGGAGTACAAAGTGCTTCAGTACTAGATATACCTACACTGAATCCTCCTTCCCCCCAGTAGAGTAGTATTTTAGCTTTTTTCTTTTCCAGAGGAGCCTGAATGCTTGAAGCTTTTAAATTTCCTTGAGCTCTCTTCTTGGTAGTCTCCTTACATCGTTTTCCCATTTACAGTAGGAATGAGTGGTGGTTGTTGACTTTTCACTAAAAAAAAAAGTCGAAGTTGTTTTTTCCCCCTACGATTTCAAAATTTATTTAGCCCGTTTGAGTTAACAAACATGGTCAAATTTTCCACACGAAAGGAACAGTTAACAGTGCCCTAGTTACAAGCAAAAAAAAAAATGAGATACTTAGGTTGAAAAATTTTTAAAAGTCTTTAACTTCAGAGTAAGTTCAATGAAGGAGGAACAGAGATTGATTCATGACAGAATCATTTCCCAAAATGTGGCCTTAATTTCGCTGATCTTGAACAAATGGTCAGATTATCAGTAACAGAAAATTTTCATATCTCCTCATCTTTGAAAGCAAGCAACTTTGTGGCTAAACCGCCTTGCCCCGGAAACACAATTTGATTCTTGGTACTTTTACTTTCTGCCTGTTCTCAGACCAAAGTAAATGCTGGCATTTAAGATGCCTAGAAATTCAATAGTCTTGACAAATAAGAAATTTAAAAATTATAGTTGAAAATGTAAATTAATTGTAGCATTGATATCTAGTATTAACTTGATGTATCTGTATTTCATTGTAGACTAGTTTTATCTCCATTGGGTTACATGTTCTTTTTAAAGTAGGAAATCATTGTTTGAAAAGTATGCTTTGAGATTATAGCATTCTAGTACCTGCTATGAAATTCTACATCCAGAAGAGTGCAGTATGGCCAAGCAGGGTAATATTGCTCAAGAGGGATAAAAAAGGGAAAAACAACTTTTTATTTAAAAAAATTAGAAGTATTCACTAAAAGGCAAATATTGTTTTGAACAACTATTATAAGACACTGGTGGACTGAAAAGTTTCTTTGATGGTGCTTCAAACAGCAGCTTGCCAATTCATTTATTTTCTACATTGTTATAAAATATTTTATACTGATTACCCTGGAATGCAATGTCTGTAAACCATATTTTGGGATATCATTCATTATTTTAGCAATTTTTAGAAGGAACTCCAAAATGCTAAAATAATTTTTTATCAGTATCAAATAAAATTGTCTTTTAAATCCATTCTAAGTGTTGAGAGAAGATGCAAAGTTACGTCTTACTATTTCTAGTAGCCTTTAAATTACTACTCTTATGCAAACAAGACTAGGCATTACTTCATTTAGTACTGCAGTTTGTAAAGGGACATTAAAATTCATTGCAAAGTGTAGAAAGGATTCAGGGCTGATACTTTGTCTATCAATCTGAAATTTTATTTAAGAAAATGTTATTTATATATACATTGTCACTTAACACTCTTCGCCTCAGTTTCCACATCTGTAAAATGAGCTAGAGAAGTAAATGAAAAACCACTCCAGTATCTTTGCCAAGAAAACCTCAAATGAGGTCATGAAGAATTGGAGACAACTTAAAACAACTCTACATATATGTAAAGTTTAAAGTTCTGCCTATATTAAGCTCAGTCCACCTTCATGTTGCATTTTTAAAACTTTTAAAAATTATGTGGAACACTTCTTCAAAGAGAGAAAATTTGAGCTTTGATGGCTTGTTAAAAATAAATTGGTATGGATGGATGTATACTAATATACATATAAAGGCTGATAGTCTGTTTTAGATGGAATCAGAAAAATATAAGAGGGCTTTAGTACTGTCAGAGGAGAAATGAAAGGGAGAAACCAACAAGATGGCAACATTTTGGGAAGATATTTGGAAAGATACTTCCCCAGTTATTGAATGAAATCCAGTTATAGAATTATAGAACTAGGAAGGGGTTGTGTTTTAGAGTGGAGGAAACTGTGGATCTAAGAAGTTCAATGATTTAGCTATGGTCACGTGACTTCTTAGCTGCAGAGCTAGAATTAGAACTTAAATCCTCTGACCCAAAGGAGCGAAACAGTTTTGCAAAGTACCATTCACTTGATCAAAGCAAGTAGTTTATTCAAGACAAGTGGAAAGGAATAACTGCTATCAGTGTAACTTTCTTGGAAGATCTTAAGATTTAGAGCCAAAGTAAACTTTAGAGATCATCTAGTCTAATGCCCCTCACTTTACAGATTAGGAAACTGAATCTCAGAAAGGGTAAGTGACTTTCCCAAGGTCATACAGGTTTTAAGTAGCAGAACTAGACTTTAAACTCAGGTCATTAAACTACAAATCCAATTCTCATCTATATTACATTGCTTCTTTGGGTTACTAAAAATACTTGTACAGTTTCTCTATTTAAAAAAGTCTTGATGGAGGAAGGGAATGTGTTTATTCATTCACAAAGCTAGATACATTTAAAGGATTTATTCAGATAAAGAAAACTACTGACAGATTTATCCAAATTTTTCTTAATTTTTTTAATGATTTAGATCACTCAGAGTCACAACAGAAGCTTTTATTTATAAAATAACTTAAGTGCTTTTCTTAAAACAACCCTAATAAAAGGTAAGAGTTGAAGGAATCATTGCCCCCATTTTATAGATAGGGAAACTGAAGATGTGGGTGCATGCTATTTGTCTAAGGCCACAGGGTTAAGAAATAGCAGAACTCAGACTCAAAGTTAAGCCTTTTGATTCCAAATCTATTGCTTTTTCCATCATATTTAATGTTAATAAACTGATTAACTTATTATGGTCTGCAAGCTTTACATGAATGAAATAAAATATATCAACAATTACATGTGTATATATGTATACATACATGTACATATATATCTTTCTTTTTTCAGTATTTGGGCAATTATCATTTTGACAGTAATGATACATGGATTACTTCAATGCAGATTCTGAATAAATTTTTCAGAAAACTGGAAGACAAATATTCATTACAATTAGATATTTTCAGATAACCCTCCATGTAAAAGCTGACCCAAAAAGGGTGGGGTAGATTATTTTTTTTTAAAATTTTTTTTACTAATGTCTTTATTTTTAATATTACCAAAAATTCCCCTAGAATCCTTCCCCATTCCTATTCCCTCCCTGAGAGCTATCCTATATAACTAAACTTTTTTTTTAAAGAACACAAAACTTTTGGGTTTAGAGATGGTTCATTTCTCAATATCAAAACTAATCTAAATGATTAAACATGGTTAAAATGCATAGATCATTAAATATTGCATTAAAGATTCAAAATCTCAAGTAGCTTAGAAAGTTGAACTAATCCTTTCACAGCAATCTTTATAAAGTATGTCTTCAAATTTCAGATCTATACCATGCTAAGAATTGCTTTCAAAAGTTAATTTCCAAAAATTACAATATGCAAATATTATTATGTCTTCACATTACAGCACTGTGAAAAGCAACTTTGACTTTGTATAGAAAACATATGTCTATACAGGACAAAATTTTAAGTCTCTAAATATAAAAATAAATTTCAAGCCAGAATGTTATTGGCTTTTGCTTAAACCTTATTAATCAGTTCACTAACATCCATAGTCAAACTGAAGGTTTTATGTAATGTTAGTAATATTCACATTCAGATAAATGTCTTAGCATTATTAGCCATTCCCTCTCCCCTCCTCTGGAAATATATTTATGTGGAGCAGATTCAGTAGCAGATTTAATATTTAGTACTCTATTTGATATGGTTTGATGTAGGCTAAGAAAAGCCTGATCAGTGTTTTGTCTGTCCCAGACAGCCTTCTGCCAAAAAATCTGCTTTTATTTGGATAATAATTTCATCACTACATCAGTCCTCAACTTACAAGTGAATTGTGTTCCAAATTTTCATTTTTAATTCAGCTATTTAGATCTCTTAACACATTTATTTCCCTATAAAATGGTGGTTAAGTTCCTGGGCTGCCCCACAAAATTTTATTTGCATAACGCAACTGAAAACATTTGCAATGAAAAATGGCAATAAAAATGGTACCATGGTGTCGTGGAAAAAGTGTTGGACTTGAGGTCAGTAAAGACATGGGTTCAAATCCTTCTTCTATCACTTACTAGTTGTATTAACCTCAGTAAATAACTTAAATTCTCTTCATCTTATTTTCTTCATCTGTAACACAAGGAATAAAGCATATGGTGCTTATCTTACAGAATTATTCTGAAGTTCAAAAAAGTCATGCATGGAAAACATGTCTTAAAGTGTGTTTAAATGTTAGTT